ACTTAATTGCGTCCAACAGTGAAAATTATACTACAGTAGGCATTTTAACAGTACATGTGGAAATATATATACGGAAGTGATTTGTTATTTACTGTGATGTAGTGCATGTGCCACCTCTGTGCCTCAGTACCTTTTCTTCTTCATCTGCCTCTCACCATGTCTAAGTGGAAAGAGCTTGTTCTGTGCCTGGCTTAGGTGGTTATCTCCTGGTGCCTTTGTGCCCTAAGGTCCCAGAGCCTGCTGAAAGTCTCCTGCCTGGATATAGGCTCACTCTCCTCAGCTTGTACTTCTGTGGGCTTTGGGGTCCCAGGCAGGAAAGAGCTGGAGGGGCTGTACACCACTGCAGTGACCTCAGCAGACACTTCTGGGGTGTCTGAGGGTGCATACTGGCACCATCTTGTCTCCCTGAGAGGAAAGTAAACCTGGAGTGAAGTCAAGATCTCTTGTCCACTTCTGCCTTGCCAATGATGCTCAACACCCATGGCTAAAGCAAAGGTGTGCAGGTTCTTTTGCATATCTGGCAAACATTGTGTGCTCTTCTGTGCTGGATCTACATGGTGGTTGCTGACCAGTCTGTAAAGGCAGCCTCACATATATTGGAGCCAGAGCAAAACTGATAACATGTGTGGGCTCCTCCACCTTTCGTTCCAGCTTACCAACTGGCTCTGGCAAACTTGCCTGACTTTCCTGTCAAATTTGACAAAGTCACTAATGGCTGAGAACAGGGGTATGCCCTCTGACTGGTGCTTAGCAGGTGCCTGGTTCTCTGAGTGTCATAGTCTTTTGGCCATTTCTCCCTCCACTGGTTATGGATACACGTCAGTGACATGCTCACCAGATTGTGCTCCTGAATCTAAACTCAACAGTATACCCACTGAGGTGCAAGTTTCTGAGCTGATGGAGGCTGCCACTGACCACCCTGTAGGTGTATCCTCTGAGTATTCAGCGCATTCCACACTAGAGGTGAAGGTGATACCTGACGGTCTCTGACACTAAGCTCTTCTTAACAGAGGTTCCCCGAGTGCCTAGAAAGGAGAAGAGAGGGAATGAATTGTAGAAGATGGGTCAAAACTGAATGGATAAGAATAAGTTTGCACTTGTGATAATGGGAGAGCAGCACAGCACATTACAATGAAGTTCAGTGAGTTGTTGCCTAGTGATGTCTCCCCACCCTCACATGGTCTTCCTTTTCCTTGGTAAAGCCAGAATTTCCTCCTCAGTGAGGAGCCTGATATCTGTCATCACATACCTCTGCACATCCCCCTCACCACCAAAATTCTCAGCCCAGTTTATCCTGCAGTGCAACATAGAGTGAGACTGAGAATGCTGGAAAAGGATACAAGAGCAGTTAGTGATCATGTATGAGCCGGAGAAGTGAGTGAGGAAGTCGCGCAGAGGGCAAGATGGTTAGTAGCTTTGGAGGATGAGGTGGGTTAGAGCAAGAGTGAACATGGTGCATTCGATAATGAGGGATATTCGATAATGAGTGGTAGTAATAGAATGAGTGATTGCTGTGCGTTTGAGGTAGCAAACAGAAAATAGTGGAACTTACCACTGCGGAGCATGGGAGATAAATTATTTTCTCTCTACACTACTGGGTATCCTTTCTAACTCGGGACACAGCACTGACTCAACCTGCAATTTTTAACCAGGCTGGCAGGGTCTGTTGATGTTTTCCTTCGGCAGTTTGCAAAATAAAGTTCTGCCTAACTCTCCACTGCGCTGTCCACCCACACCTACAGATCCTGGTCTTGGAAGTAGGGAGCTACATTGCCCTTCCTCTGCAACATTTTCTGTGGCGTGGGACTTGTTGTTCCTGGCTTACAACATCTGCAGTGGAGTGCAGCTGGGCTTTTAATGTGGAACCAAAGGTGTCTAAGGTGGATGGTCCCAGCATTGGCAAGCTCCTCCACCTCTCTTGTCAGTGATTCTCCCAGAAACACAGTCCAACACCACAGCTGCAGAATCAATGAGGTGGAAAGTGGAAAATTATGAGAGAAAATTCTCTCTGGGCCATGGAACTCACTCATTGCCACATCTTAATTGCAAACGGGAAAATTCCACCACATATGCTCTCCCTCCTAAAAACATTTTACCTACGTCTCTGAAAGTATTTGCCACCTTAGTCTCCACCTCAGTCTATCTGTTGCTGCAAACTGCAGCCATAACTTCGCTACCCAAGACATGACTCTTTGAATCCTTTCCTGATTGGACCTATGTCTGGCAATACCTCAATTTTAAAATATTCATTCCATGTTCACAAATTCCTTAGAATGAGATACAGACACCAAAGGGAACCAAGGATAAGACACAAAATCCAATAAAGTTTGCAAGAAAAATAAACAAAGCCTTAGATCTCATTTTGTAGATGCATAGATTCTTAATTAGGCCACAGTTAAAGTACAGAGTACAGTTCTAGCTCCACATTGTGAAAAGAACAATGTGTGTAATGGTTAATTCTAGGAAAGGTAAAAACTATATTGAAGAGGAAGTTAAGTAAGCACTTAAGGGAGCAAAGAATGGAAGGTTATGTTGGTGGATCTAAATGAAAGCAAAGTGAACAAAGGCTTTCGTGGAGCATAAACACTGGCATGGAATTAATGGACCAAATGACCAATTACTGTGCTGTAAATGCTATGCAATGTAATAATTTGCAAAACTTTGCGAATGCTGTTTCTTCATTCACATCTGTCTCTTTGGATTTATTGTAACCTGGTTCCCCATTCTTAAACAAATTGTACCACTCCTTCAAAATCTCCTGCACAAGGATGTTTATATCCCAGTTTGCCTCAAATTATGATGTGGAGGTGCCGGTGTTGGACTGGGGTGGACAAGGTCAGAAGTCAGATGACACCAGGTTATGGTCTAGCAGGTTTATTTGAAATCACAAGCTTTCAGAGTATTGCCCCTTCGTCAGGTGAAGGGATAGTGCTCAGAAAATTTGTGATTTCAAATAAACCTGTTGGTCTATAAACTGGTGTAGTCTGACTTCTGATCTTGCCTCCAATTACTAACAAGTTTTTTTCTTTGCCATATATGCTTGCCACACTGTAGCTGGATTAAACTTGTTTCTCTGTTTTACGCCAATATGAAACTTACTTCTCAAGCATGAAATTGAACTTCTCTAAAGGTGTGGCACATTTCAGTTGCTTTGAAAGAATTTGCAAACCTTGAACCCAAAGTCAGGAAAAAATAATGCAGTTTAGAGATATAAATGCAAATTTCCATTGAAGAGGACTATATGGTCTAGAGCAGCCTTATCCAAAAAGTGACCGAGGAAAATATTGTGGCCTGCAGAAGGGTCCTGTCCAGCCAATGACCTGCTTTGTCAGTACTGCAGGGTGGTCCTCCAATCAGAGATCTTCTTTGGAAATTGTGGCTGAAAAGTTCAACTCACTGAGCAAAAAACACCAAAGAGAAATGGCCTCTGATTGGAGGAGTAATGAACTGTGTGAATGTCCCTACATTCACTCAGCCTGAGGCCTCAATGCTGGGGAAAGCAGTAATAATGTTGGACTGGACTGGGCTGGTTCAGGCAGTGCAAAAGACAAGATGCTTGATGTGTAGGCAAGTGAGTCCAGGTATCTCAGTCTGAAAGGCAATGTCCTTCTAACATGCACTTTCATATGACAGAATGCACACCACCAGAAGTGCACACAATGGCAATGTTACTTAAAGCCAACTCTGTAGCTTGGTGTCAGTCCCCACCACCTTGGGACGTGAGGTTGATTCTCAAAATTAAATAGTTTGTAGAAGCTGTCAGTGAGAGCTATTGAGCTATTGCCATCTTAAATGTCTGATCGAATGAAATAAATAAGAGAGTTAATAATGGTGGAAATATAGCACTTCAAGATCAGGATGAGCCACATTGTATCACTGATTCAAACCTACAAGACTGCTAATCTGATATGATTATGATATTCTCAAAAAATTCCTAAGCCAACTTGATCTCTAGTTCCCTCTTTTAATGGTTCAGATAGATTACAGTTTTATAGCTCAATAATTACGACATCCACTACCAATCCCAAAGATTTGATTTAGAATTCACGAAGTGGGTGTTGGGTAGAAGAGCAGAGCTTTGAATCTAAGAAATGTAGACAAACACGTTTAAAACTCCATAGCTGTCAGATACGAGCTGATAACTAGCAGGCATTAGGGAAGCAGGACATTGTTCAGACTGATACTGAGTGACCCATCAATCTTGTTTTATTCTTATGGAATGTTTTTTGAAGTAGTTTGATAAAACCCAATATCTTGCTGGGATATTTCAAAGAAGATTTACATCAGCCACATTGCCGCAGGTCTGGGGTCATGTATAGACCAGACCACATAAGCATGGCAGATTTCTTTCTCCAAACAATATTAGTCAACCACTTAAGTTTTAACAAAAATCTGAAAACTTTAAGACTGTTGTCAATGACTGGTTGTTGCTTCTTATTCCAAGTTGATTTAGTTAGCTGAGTTCAACTTCCCATTGTGGTGCTTGAATCCACAAATGTGCCCACTAACTTAACAGTATGCACTGTACTAACATTATTCAGTCACCTAATTACACCTGCAGTCTCTGCATAAATAACATCTTACAATTCGGCGATCACACTGGAGCCATATTTTTACCAGTAGGCTCCAATATCACTAATAAAGTCAACAGAAGATCTCCCAGAAGACACCACTAAAATAAAACCCACAACAGCAGCATAAATGAAAAACTGTTTGTCATGAGTGATGATAGACAAAGAACAGTGAAACAATTTGGATATTGCTAGCCTCCAGAAACCTCCAGCACTACAATAGAAGACAAACTCCCTAATACTCACTGCTTGGGATGTTAGTAGCTGCCTATTTTGAAGAGTTGCTTTAAAGAACTAGTCCTCCACAATGAATGGTGGATTAAAGAATGGAGATTCACACCATTTTTCATTTGCTTATAAAGCATCACTCTGCAAGTCTCTTATGTAGATATTTCAATAGTAAATGAGAGAGCATTGTTGACTGTTTACCTGGACTTCGGAGTCAGGGGATTGTAGGTGTAGGATCAGAACAGGCAGAGCTCCCTCCTTACACAGCAAATGTTGAGTCTTTTCTTGAAAAGAAAATTTTAAAGCATTTGTGAGTTGTTACTAGTAATGAACCTGTCTGCAGGTTGAAGCCAACTATTTAGAACTTCAAAGTCCTGACTGACCCTAAACTGAGCTTCAAATGTCATATCCTTTGCATCATAAAAAACTGCTACTGCAACCTCCTAAGCTATTGTGGCACATCTTCATTAATGTGTTAAATTTAAAACTTACATCCATATTTCAATTCCTTCACGAACAACATTGTGGGTGCACCTCTGCCAAATGGTTCTAGAAGGCAGCTCACCATCACCTTCTCAAAGACAATTACAATGGGCAATGAATGGGCAAAGCCCACATTCCATGAATGAATTTTTAAGAATGGCTTCAGCCATGCAAAAACTGAGTATTTTTTCAATTCATATTTCTTGTGCATCCCTTACTCCCTTTACACCATTGGTGGCTGTGCTTTCAATCGTTTAGGTCCTAAGCTCTCAAATTCCTTCTATAAAACTGTCAACCTTTCTCTTCCATTTAAAACCCTCCTTAAAAGCTATCTATTCCATCAAGCTCTTCGTCACCTCCCTAATATTTCCTTCTTCGGCTTAATGTCAGTTCTTGTCTGCTTAACCTTCTCTGAAGTAACTTGGGACACTTTTCTGTGCTAGGCGTATTATATAAATGTGATTTAACGTTGTTCATTAAAGAAATGACAGAAAAGTAAAACAGGAAGGCAGTCAGTGCTATGATTTCCATGTTGAAGAGTTTGTCTTTATTTCAGTTTACTTAACAGGGTTCAGGGTGTAGGCTATATATATCTGTTAAGTCCAATTCTGCAACACTTATATACATTTTATAGAAGACACACTACATAAGAAGGTGAATGCCATGATTTTCCAATGTTTAAACCGAACATGTCAAAACTTACCTGATTTTGTAAGGTTGAGAATGGCACCTGCTGCATTTTGCTGCACTCTGGGATCATATGACTTTGCAAGACCTAAGAGAGGTTTAATTCCCCCTTCAGAGGCAATGGCATTTCTTCTTAAAACTGAAGGGTAAACAGTAAAGAAGAGTAATAATCAGTAAACAGGAACTAGTTAACATAACTTTAACAAGTTAACACAATAGCACATGGTATTAATAGAATTCAAGAGGGGTCTCAACATACAAACTGATGATGTTTTAGCATTTAGAGGAATTAACTTATTCACTGGTAATAATCCTGAAAGATGTGGGGCTTGATTACAAGCCAACTCTCAGAATTTCAAAGTGATAAAACATTTCAACTCATGCCTTGGTTTGTTATCATTTACAAAAAAATGCTTTCTGACTGAAGAGTTAAGCAGAATAACATGAATCAGGTTACTCCAGACTGCTATGGCATCCAGGGCAGAACCTGGTGTGGTAATGGACCACGTTTTGTCTTCCTGTCAGTTGTAATTTTTGTGATAGGTATGTTCTTTATTGGTCTCTGTGCACAAATTGTTGAAATGGCAGAATCTTCTGAGCGTGCCAAAGCTTTAAAAAGGGTTGGGGTGGGAGAGGGAGGGTGGAAGAATCTTAACTGGGGCAGCAGGAAAAATGTCACATTCCCATGGTTATTACATTCTCAGAACATTTCAGGCAGGTAAGGTTTCCTGATCACAATTGGTGGGAATCTCTTCTGCATTAATTAGCATGGTCTTGAATATTATTATTACCACAGGCCAATTGGAGTTACGCTCTGGTTACAAACTAACTGTTTTTGAGACATCTACCTGGTGAAGTCCGTATCTTTCTCGAACTCTGGCGAGTACAAACATGTTGACCAACATGGCTTCCTCAGAAAAAGAGCTGATTATGTGCACAAACAGTTACAATGTTAGGGCTGAAGCCATTCCACATTCATCAGTTCATGAGAAGTCTTGTTTATACATAGTCTGCCATCTTTGGGAGAACTGTCCCACTGACTGGTCAAGGAACAGCCTGAAGGATCTAGGCCCGAAATGTTAGCTTTCCTGCTCCTCTCATGCTGCTTGGCCTGCTGTGTTCATCCAGCTCTACACCTTGTTATCTCAGATTCTCCAGCATCTGCAGTTCCTACTATCCCTGACATTGTCTGTTGGGTATGATTCTGTAAGTATGACTAATCCCAAACAATACCATCAGTAGCCCTATTCCACTGGAATAGATCCAGCAGAGGCAGTGGCACAGTGGTACACAGTCAGGAAGGAGTTGCCCCTGGAGTCCTTGACATTGACTTCAGACCCCATGAAATCTCATGGTATCAGGTCGAACATGAGCAAGGAAACCTCTTGCTGATTACCATATAGCATTCCTTTTTGGCTGATGAATTAGTTCTACTCCATTATTCATGGCACTTGTAGGATGCATTGAGGGTGACAAGGGCACACAATGTACTCTGGATGAGGGAATTCAATGGCTATCACCAATAGTGGCTTGGCAGCAGCATTACTGATTGAGCTGGTCAAGTCTGCCTTCTCATTGAGAATATTGACTATGAGTTGCACCAACACTGTCCAAAATGGGATAGACTTCAAACAAATAAGTACCTCAAGACTGGGCATCCATGAGGTGCTGTGGGCCATCAGTAGGAACAGAATTGTACTCTGAAACCCCATGGCCCAACATATCCTCCTTGTTACCATTAACATGCAGCCAGGGGATTGAACCTAGTTCAAGGAAGACTGCAAGAGATCATGCCAGGAGCAGTACAGCCATACCTAAAAATGAGGTGTCAACCTGATGAAGCTATTAAACAGGGCTCCACAAATATCCCCAATAATGTGGAGGTCCAGTGCATCAGTGCAAAAAGTAAGCCTGAAGCATTTGCAACAATTTTCAGCCAGAATTGCTGAGTCCTAATCAATATCAGTCTCCTCCAATGGTCCCAAGCATCACAGATGTTAGTCTTCAACAAATTGATTTACTTCATGTGATAGTAAGGAACCATTTGACGGCATAGGATATTCAAAAGGCTATGAGCTCTGACAATGTTCAGCAATAGTACAAAAGACTTGTGCTCCAGAACTTGCCATACACCCAGTCAAACTTTTCCAGTATAGCTTCAACACTGACATCTACACGACAATGTGAAGAATTGCACAGGTATATACATGAAAACAGGACAAATCCAACCTGGAAAATTACTGCCTCAGTCTGTTTTTCAACATCAGTAAAGAAAGGGACCACCAACAGTGCTACAAAGCATCGCTTGCTTAGCAATACTCTGCCCTTTAACACTCATTTTGGGTTCCACCAGGGCCACTTAGTTCTTGAGCTCATTGTAACCTTGGTTCAAGCATGGATCAAACCACTGAACTCAAGTGGGGAGGTGAGAGTGACTGCCCTTGGCATCAAGGCCACATTTGACTGAATATGTCATTAAGGAGCCCTGATATTGCTAAAGTAAATGGGAGTTAGGGCGACAACTCTCCACTGTTTTGAGTCCTACCTAGAAACGTGGAAAATGGTTGTGGTTGCTGGTCATCTCAGCTCCAGGATATCTCTGAGCAGTTCCTCAGGATAGTGTCATAGGTGCAATGATCTTCAACTTCAACTTCAGCAATGACCTTCCCTCCATCATATGGTCAGAAGTGGTGATGTTCAGTGGTGATTGCCAATTGTGACTCCTCAGACACTGAAGCAGTCCACGTTCAAATACAACAAGACCTGGGCCATATCCAGGCTTGGGATGACAAGTGCAAAATAACATTCATACCACACAAGTGCCAGTAATAATCATCTATAAAAAAAGCGAATCTAACTGGTGCCCCTTGACATTCAATGGCTTTACCATGATTGAATCCCCTACTATTAACATTCTTGGGGCTACCATTGACCAGAAGTTCAAATGGACTCACCATGTAAATACAGTGGCTATACAGCAGGACAGAAGCTGAGAATCTTGTAGTGTAACTCATCTCCTGGCTCTCAAATCCACCCTCTATGCGTCAGCCAGGAGTGTGATGGAATACTCCTCACTTGCCTGGATGAGTGTAGTTCCAACAACACTCAAGAAAATTGATGCCATCCAAGACAAAGCTGCCTGCTTGTTTGGCACCACATCCACAAGCATCCATTCCTTCCACCATCAATGCATGTAGCAGCAGCGTGTGCCATCTACAAGGTATGTTGCAGAAATTCACCAAGGCTCCTTAGAAAGCACCACAACCACTACTACTTAGAATGAGAATGGCAGCAGATCCATGGCAGCACCACCATCTATCAGTTCTCCTCTATACCACTCACCTTCTGGACTTGGGACTGTATTGCCATTCCTTCAGTGTCACTGGGTCAAAATCTTGGTACTCCCTAACATCATTGTGGGTGTACCTACACCAAATGTGGCAGTTCAAGAAGGCAGCTCACTGCCACCTTCTCAGGGGCAAGTGGGTAATTGGGATAGGCAATAAATGCTGGCCCGCATCCAATGAACAAGTGATAAAAAAAATCATGTCCTTAACAACTTACACCAGTGCTCCCCAAACATTTTCCCACTGTGAGTCCAATTGAAAACTGTTGTGACCCCTTGGTAAGCAGTGGAAGTGGAGAAGACCTAGCAGAGTAATGGTGATGCTGGAGGGGTAGAGGGGAAGCATTGTTGCTACAGAGCTCACAACCTCAATCTGTCAGCTCGTAAACCCATCTGCACTTCCAACTCCCAAGCCTTGACTTGCAGAGTTAGGGGTGATGCCTCTCCATGTTCATCAGTTTATGAGAAATTTCAGCCATATGCAGTCAGCCAACTTGTCCTTAAATGCTTACAATGTTAAGGATGAAGGCTCAATGGTCTGCTAGCCTGCCCAAGACACATATCCACACTAGCTGATATCAGCAATCCTGCCTGAGTCAGGCATATGGGTTCAACTTAAAAGGGGGATTAGCTGAGAGCTGGCCTAGCTTAGTGAAGGGGTAGGAAATGAAACTTGAATGTTATGTTTGTTGGCAGCATTGGAAATGTCTTGGTCATTGGAAGGATCAACTGAAGGTGCACAGGGGAGACCACTAGTCGTAGGGCCAAGGGAGGCAGTTAACGGTGGGAGATAGTTTTAAAAAGTAGCCTTTGAAGGGTCACTTGAGGGCTTCAGGCTCCCACTGTTGGAATAACAAACTGTCCTGCCATCATGTGGCCTTCCTGGCAGCAAAAACACTATAGCAGCTAGCTGATGTCAGTGCAGCGGTGTGAGGATTAGTACAAGGGCATGGGTACAGAGGTGTCAATGGTAGAGTAGGTGTGGGTGTGGAGGTGTGTGGGTGTAGGGGTGTGGGTGTAGTGTGTTGGTGTGGGGGTGTGGGTATGGATGTTGGGTGTTGGTGTGGGTCTGTTGGTGTAGGTTTGGGTGTGGGAGAATTGGTATGGGGGTGTTAGTGTGGGGGTGTGGGTATGGGTGTAGCGTCTCTTGCAGGTGTTAGTCTGGACGTGGGTGTTGATGAGCGGGTGTGGGTGTTGGTGCCGGGGTGTGGGTGTTGGTGTGGAGGTGTGGGTGTTGGTGTGGAGGTGCGTGTGTCGGTGTATGGTGTTGGTGTGGGGGTGCGTGTGTTGGTGTAGGGTGTTTGTGCGGGTGTTGGTGTAGGGTGTTGGTTTGGGTGTTGGTGTTTGGTGTTGGTATAGGGTGTTGGCGTAGGGTGTGTGAGTGTGGGTGTGGGTGTAGGGTGTTGGTGTAGGGTGTGGGTGCGGGGGTGTGGGTGCGGGGGTGTGGGTGTTGGTGTGGGGTGTGGGAGTTGGTGTAGGGTGTTGGTGCGGGTGTGTGTGTGTGGGTGTAGGGTGTCGGTGTGGGGGTGCGGGTGT